GGCGGGTATCGTTGTACTGTTGAACACACTGATGGTATGCATTTTATTGTCCTCTATTCAAGAAAGAGGACAGGGTAAAAGATTCTCCATCAAAAATGAAAGGTGCGTTGCCCTTGCTTTCCACGGTTCCCTTGTACAGTTGACTACATAATAAGTGTTAGGAACAACTTTGTTTGCGCAAGCAAGATTACGGGGCTTTCATTGAACCAGATACGGGGCTTTCGTTGAACCAGGTACGGGGCTTTCATTGAACTAGATACGTGGCTTTCGTTGAACCAGATATGGGGCTTTCAGTGAACCGGATACGTAATTCTACGCGAGTTCCTGACCACGATACCGAGTGTGCAGGCAATTCTGCTCAAATTAGAATGGGTTGGAAGCAAGATCCGTTCGGAATCTAGGATGCTTGACGGTTCTTGTGAGGGGGGTAATCATGGGCGTGATTCTCGACTCACGCCCAACAGGGACGCATCCTGCACAGCATGAACATATCACGCATATCATATAAGCATAATAAACACATACTGACCGTTTGGCAGTGCAATTTCACCTCTAGCGGAAACGCGGATGTCAACCGCGTCCACGTTTCCGCTAGGCGTTTCTTCCCTCATTCGCGCGCTCGTTTGCAAGAGAGCCTGGGCAACGGATGAGGGAAGCGTTAGCAAAAATAGTATTTCGTATGCGTTGTTTTCCCTAAACAAATTGCACAAACTGAACGGTCAACCACACATCTCGTTGTGGGATGACGCGTTCATTTGGCGGAAGCGGGTGGAATTTAAGGAATTTGAAACCCGCAATAGTTGCGCTATGGGGTTTCATCTTCTTTGAAGCGAAACGGGTACCCACATCATACTAAGTAGGAATATGTGATAATATTTTGAAGCAAAAGATTACTCAGATTAGTATTCAATCTTAGAGATCTTTATTTCGCTGGACAGGGGCACACTCCCGGAGAGAAAGCCTTCCGCCTTTAGTTAAAATTGCATATTTAACAAATGAAACAGTGAGTATTTTCTCTAAGTATTTTCAGACGGTAATACTTAAACACTGGTAATACTTAAACACTGAGTGTTGTCTCGCGTGTTGTCACCATGCCTTAGAAACTCACGATCTCACTCCCAAAGTGACCAAAAACCGTTCGATCGCCGATCGTTCGGTTTTTGGTCACTTTGGGAACGCGTCTGAAAATACTCAGTGTTGTCTCGCGTGTTGTCACCAAGCCTAAACTCGCGATCTTACTCCCAAAGTGACCAAAAACCGTTCGATCGCCGATCGTTCGGTTTTTGGTCACTTTGGGAACACGTCTGAAAATACTCAGTGTTGTCTCGCGTGTTGTCACCAAGCCTAAACTCACGATCTTACTCCCAAAGTGACCAAAAACCGTTCGATCGCCGATCGTTCGGTTTTTGGTCACTTTGGGAACACGTCTGAAAATACTCAGTGTTGTTTCGCGTGTTGTCACCAAGCCTAAACTCACGATCTCACTCCCAAAGTGACCAAAACCGTTCGATCGCCGATCGTTCGGTTTTTGGTCACTTTGGGAACACGTCTGAAAATACCTGGAGAAAATACCAGACAGGTCTTTGCAACCAAGCCGACTTCAGTTCTCACATAAACGTACTGTACGGTTTACGCCCTCCCGAATCTGGAATTCACGGCCGTGAATATTAATTTCACGGCCGTGAATATTAAATTCACGGCCGTGAATATTTCACTGCACGTATGTATACCCCACACTGTTTGCGAGTAAATTAGATTGGGAAAACATTTTCCAACGTTCGTAATGCACATAGATATATCATTTAGACTCTTAGGTAGGAGTTTTTTGAGCTCTTGACTGAGCCGATCCGTGGCCGCATCAGCTCAGTTTGCAGTCGCGACTGCGAGCTAAGCTGAGAGGCCCTTATAACTTTCATGCACATCGCATCAAAACTCAAACAGCGGAGGGGTTCTCGTGCGTTCTAGCGCACGATACTTGGCACCAATATTGCTAACAGCAATATTGGTGCACCCTCAAACGCACAACTTCTGATGTAAGCTATGCGCAAAACGCGTGCTACACATAATGGGTTTGGGTACATGCAAACCCAAACCCAAACATGCCAAACAGCAAAGGGCTTCCCGTGAGTTCCAGCGCACGTAACTTTGCAAAAGTATCACTAGGATATATATCTTTTAGTTGCCAAAGGCCTAAGGCCTCAAAAGCCTTGTGCACGAAGCCATCAATTTATTTCTTTGGAGATTTATTGGGTTTGTGTTCGAGTTTACCCAAACCCAATACATGCCAAACTGAAAAGCAATTCCCGTGCGTTATAGCGCACGAAACTATGCACACATATTTACAAGACACATATCTTTCAGTTCTCAGAAGCTCAAGGTTTGAGATAACTTGTTGGCAAAACCATCAATTTATTTCTTTGGCAGATCTATTGGGCTTGGGTTCGAATGTTTCCAAACCCAATACATGCTAAACAGCGAAGGGCTTCCCGTGCGTTCTAGCGCACGTAACTGCGTAGAAATATTGCCAAGATAATTATCTTTGATATATTCGAAGCACAAGGTCTAAGAAAGTCTGTGCGCAAAATGGTATTACTATTTCTTTGACACAGATTTTAGCGTGATATACAAACTCATAAATCTGGGTCAAAGAAATAATATGTTAACTTCGCGCACAAGCTATCGCAAAACTTGCACTTCAGGAAAGTGAAATATATGCATCTTATCATTATATTTTGCAAAGTTACGTGCGCTGGAACTCACGGGAAGCCCTTCGCTGTTTGGCATGTTTGGGTTTGGGTTTCAAACCCAAAAGGCATCATGCCAGCACGCGGCCGTCTTTAATATACTCAACGGCTTGCCATATGCTCTTGAGGGTGCACTGATATTGATATGAACAATATCACTGCCAAGTTTCGTGAGAAGATTCTCACGAAAACCCCTATTATGCAAAGCCGCAAGTGGTTGAAACCATCTCACACCGCACCAACTTAGCTGGCAGTCGCGAAGGCTAAGCTGATGCGGTTGCGGATGGGGCCAATCGATAGCTCAAACGAAAGGTATTCACCTACTGTAATGAATACAAACGCTTTAGAATCGAATGGTGGAAAAAATTATGTTTCATGCTACATGCAAAAAATTGTTTAGAAGAAGGGGGTGCGGGTGTGCCAGACGCAAAATATTGCACACGCTTGAACCGCTTGCGCTTGTACCTCCGGGGTACCGAGTACGCTAGTCAGACTGCTTGTATTTTTTTTTTTTGGCGCTCGATTGAATTAAGCATGGTTACATGTGACATATAATCTATTCCCCAAAAACAGATCGAAATTTCTATTCCCCATTTTGCACTTTTCTATTCCTCGATAACCTTTTTTCCAAATTTAAGTTGCAGAAGGACCTTTCTGCAATTGTGAATGGGTCCGACTGGCTTGATTTATTTTACCAAGCTGCGCCTGCCTCTAGAGCTCGGTTGATTTCCCTTTCCCAACGTGGTGCCACTGCTCACTTGGTGGCCACGCCCCACGTCGCCTTCTTTTCGGCTTCCACCCACTCAGGCACTTGTTGCCGTTGCAATTGGGTTGCCCCGATGCTTATTCTAGCTGGTGTGAATTAGTGCATACATGTGATGTTTGTGTGTGCTTCTATTGACCCCTTTGGCTACCACTACCTCATCTGCGTAACCGGCGTGGATGGGATATCACGGCACATGATGCCGTCCGTGATCTGTTGGCATCTATGCTGAAGCAAGTCTTTGATGCAGCCCTTGTTATCGTAGAGGATCGCACTCATCATGGGTATGAGTGGAAGCCTGACATCATGGTGCTCAACCACGATGGACGAGGTAGACATATCGTGATCGACGTGAGCCTGGCATTCCCTTGTTGTGCCTCGTGTATGGACCGGGCTGCTCGGGAGCCTCTGCGGGCTGCATCGGTACATGAGCGAGCCAAGAGGGCATTGTACGGACCAATCTGGCCTCACACTCGTTTGCGATGGAGTCCTTTGGAGGCTTGTGGAAATCGGCGCGGAAGTTCTTCGACAATTGTGTACAGCGCAGGCAAGACCGATTGTTTCAGGAGGAGGAGGATGTAACATGGAGCATGCAGAGCTTTTCAACCTATTAGTTGCAGCAGATGGTGGTTGCCCTGCACGGCTCGCGGGGCTACGGAATTGCTTGCAGTGCTAGTCATGATTATCAGCATGGATGAATAAGATATTTGCATGATGTTGGTTTATGTGGCCGTTTTGGCGTTTGTTTGCTGTGTGTTTGACATTTCAATTGTGAGATGCGAACCTTACCATACAGTTTCTGCTACCTCTTTGTATATATTAGCATCGTTTACACAAATGCGCTTTCAGAATTTAATAGATTTTTCGAAAATGGTATTCCCTGAATTCAAAAAGAAATTCGCCTACGGCAGGCTTTTCGGGAACTCGCTTCGCTCTCGAATCGCTCGCGATTCACAAAATTCCCGCTGCCGCCGCCGTTGCTGACAATTCCCATGAGGATTGCAGAACATATAATCTGATGTTTCAGCAGCCATTGCTTCTTTCAGATGAGAGTGACAATTATGAAATGAGGTGGAATTATCCCTTGGGCGCAACCGTCAAAGTAAGGTACGTGTAGTTGAAATCATGTCACAGTAAAATCGATCCTGCTTGCGCTGGGTTTCTATTTTGGCTAACTCACACAGAGCAATGAGAGTGCCACTAACATGTCCATGGCAAAGGGCACCAGCACACACATGTGGCCCGATTGGACAATATGACGGGGATCATTTCGTATGTTACATGGATATACGGTGCGATGTCAGGCGCTCATCCTACGCAGCACTATAGACGTTGCACAAACACTAGCTTAAGTACAGGAACGCCAGCAGGTAAAGATCGTCAATGACAGTCAGCGCAGGTAAGGTATCGGTCTTAGAGGCTATAAATTGTGATGGGATTTTCCCTGTACAATACCGCTCAAATCCGTTGCGTCAAAGCATAAATGGTTTTTTTGCTCTGAACTGGATTTTAACCAGTGACCTCACGGTTGTCGCCCGCTCGCTCTGCCACTGAGCTATTGGAGCTTGTTGATGTTCAAGCTCGATCCTCTTGTGGCACTTATACAGTTTCAGATATTATTACATATCACGATTTCGCGCAGCTTCGATGACATACCGTCATCCGATGGCTGCATCGACTCTCTGACAATCGGTCTAGCCCAGCATGTTTGAGCAGAATGATGCGGAAATACTCCAAAAACACCATCACATCACATACTTACTCCATCATACACAACGATGATTTGTAGCTCCACCCTTTTTCATCCATCGAGGCCCTCCGGAAACTATTTCTCAGCCAGGACATCACAGTATTGCGAAAAATCTGCGCAAACGAAGATAATACACTTCTTGGTTCTGTTAGCTATATTCAACAAGAGTAGAAGGTCTTATGCGATGAAGAATAATGCAACTTTTTTTGGATCGTAGGCATTGGTCTCGCGGCTTACTTTCATTACTAGGCCAGTTGATCTAAAGATATCCACTATGCCTACATTCAGTGGAAATTAATCGCCCAATTCTTACAAGGGGACATATGGCACCAATGAGGTACTAATTGTCGATGTGATGAATTGTGTGTGGTGTCGCGTTGATGATGACGTTCTGTTTATAATGACACAATCTAGGCTCGCATTACATTGACAACTCGTTTCTTACGATGAGACAATAGAGTGTTAAAAACACCTTTCAGTATTTGGTACAATGGCATTTTGCCATCATACAGCATTGCGATCGGCGATCTATGCGTTCACCGATCAAGACATCGCTTTGATAAACTACCCAAGTAAATCCTTTCCCCAGGTTCGTCGTTTTAAAGAGCACGGGTACAAAATCTGAGATGTCAACCACAAGAAAGTGCTTGCAGAGCTGAAGTGATACAAGAAAAGGCAGGATGCTCACAAGAGTGCACCTCGGACGCATTATTTTAACGAGGTTTGCACACTGAGGAAAACAACCAACCACGAAGCGCACAGAGATCAGGGAATTTATATGAGATCGGGTGACAGTAGAATACGATCACCATGAGGATCTCTCCCTTCCGGTCCAAAATGCACCGTTTGGAAGATCTGGTGGGGCCAGGGCAAGCCACGTTGGAGTATCAGCGCCCTGTGCAGCAGTCTTCGGCCCACTCCAGCTGGACATGTCTGTAGCGCACCACCCGGGGCAGCATGCACTGACGATGACGCCCTCTGGAGCGAGCCTCTTAGCCAGAATTCGTACATATGCTGCCATCCCAAGCTTGGAGACACCATACATCGTATTCGGCCACCCTGCTGCCTGATGTGTGCCACCTGGCAAATCATATAACATCGATTGTTATTTCACATTTTAAAGTCATAAAGCTTCACCTATTGCACACCTTACAACTTTCCATATTAGAAAAAGAAAACTTGTAGAAAAAAACATCTTTTGCGCGGGTGGAATGGAAGACACCAACACTCAACGGGGAAAGATATCTACAATATTCAGAATGGTGCAAATTCATCAACAAAGCTGCCTGTTCATTATCATAGTACCATAATCAAGCAGAAGCAAGACATTCCCTCAGACTTTGCCAAGCATCCTCCAGGTTCGAGACGGAAGAATGCTTCTTGAGTAAAATAGCGCAGCAGATAAAATTGGAGCCCTAGAGGCGCGATAGCACAGCGGGTGAGGGCTTTCACTTGACAGTTTGGTCACCCTGTCGCTGCTATCAGATCTCATGCTAGGGTCCTAATATACTCTGCAGGGTCCATTTAGGCGCTGTGCAGCGGATAACAAGGGAAACCCCTGATCACATAGCATAGAAGGGAGAAACGTAGCAAGTGAAAGGTAAGCCCCAGCACAGTGATAGCGTAGCAAGTGAAAGCACTGCGATAGTGGAGAAGGTAGACCTAAAGCCCTGGCGTAGCAATAGTTCCGCGAGTGAAAATGTAGCCCTACCACCGCGGCAGGCTTGATAGCAAGTAGACCTTAAGCCCTAGTGCAGAAACAGCGTATCAAGTACACGTGAATTCCAAGCGCAGTGACAGCGTAGCACATGAAAGTGGAGCCCTGTCGCAGCGATAGCGTAGCAAGTAGACCTAAAGCCCTAGTGCAGCGATAGCGTAGCAAGTAGACCTGAAGCCCTAGTGCAGCGATAGCGTATCAACTACACGTGAATTTGCAGTGCAGTGACAGCATAGCACATGAAAGTGGAGCCCTGTCGCAGCGATAACGTAGCAAGTGGACCTGAAGCCCTAGTGCAGCGATAGCGCTGCAACAAGTACAGGTGAACTCCAAGCGCAGTGACAGCGTAGTGACAGCGTAGCGGATACAAAAGAAGTCTATGGGCAAGGATAACATAGCAAGTGAAAGCGGATCCCTAGTGCCGCGATGGCGTAGCAAATGAAACCGCCCTCGCGTAGCGATAGCGTAGAAACTGACAGCGAAGCCTCGCAGCGATAGCGTGGCAAGTGTATGCGGAGGCGTGGCGAGGTACGTCTCTGGATCGCACCGTCGATATCCGACACAAATTTATTCATTAGCTCCTTGACATCCTCCACAGTCCGAGCTGTCTGCAACCCCGAATCACTTCAGTCAGACTCACTTTAGTCCATCTGACGAGAAGACCGGCCGTATCTTAGTTTTGACTCTCCTCTATTTTCGGAACCACCAGCAGAAAGGTGATGCGGGAGCATTCAAGTACCTGGAAGCGAGCACGGAGAGGTTCCCGAACAATCTTTAACTTTCCGGCACTCGAACACACGTTGACTATTCGTGGCTTAGCCGGATTGCGGACATTTAAAAAAGGAATCAAGTGCTCGCAAAGGTTGATCGTCCCGTTGACGTTCGTCTCAATCGTGAGCTGTGCCTCTGTACTTCCGAATGTATTGCCGTGATAGGCCATTCCGGCGTTATTCACGAGTATGTCCAGCATGCCCAGTTCGCGTCCCAACCATGATCCAAACTCGGCTATACTTGTCACGTTGGTGATATCCAAGGGCTGGAATATTACCTGTCATTCGCGGAGTGCCCCGTGCAAAAGTCGGTTTTATTTGTGTATCTTACAACTCCACAACTCAATTACTCCAATACTTAACAAACGTATAATTATGCGGGCTTATCGAAGAACTATACAGAGTTTTCTACCAAGTTCAGTCACAAAGTTGGGGGTTGGACTGCGACAACCGAGGACCCATCAAGCACAAACACAGTTACAGCAACGCGAGGAGCATTTAGCGTGAGACACATCAGAAAATCCGTCAGGGCATTGCACTGTTACAGGGTAACGCTTCCAATGCAAGGTTTCGGCAAATATGTTGGAAGCATAATCCACGTGAAAGCGCGGGACTGCGTTCTATTTGGTACTTCACCTGTCCACCATTTTTAACTCTGGCAGTTTCCTGTGATATCTTCGACACTGCCGCTTGCCCTTTCTCCGGATCTCTATCGAAACCAAACGAGATAGTCCCTCAGCACACAAGCGATGCGGTGCGAGTGGAATTTCACAGCCATCTGACGATTCGCAGGAGAGTAACGAAAACTCACCGCGCAGTTAGTATGACGGTTAGACCCTCTATTCTCAGCAACTTAGCAATCTCATACCCGATCCCTTTGTTTGCGCCAGTGACGACTGCAACCGTATTATTGGAATACCAGGGCATGTCCTTCAACACCTTCACAGACGAAGGCAAAAGGTGCGAAAAGGGTTATGACTTTGTGATAACTTTCACAGTGCTTGACACTTTTATCACACTTGTATGCCGAACACAAGGCATTTCGTTCTGAGCCATTATAGGAAGTCTTGACCGCATGCGCATCTTTCAGGGAAAACTATCATTTCGTGTTCGACTTATGTTGCAACAGCCGAGCGACAGCTCAACAGCACGCGACTGACTGACGTGAGTCACTCGACTGACGTGAGACGCAGACGTAGACGTGAGCAACACGATGACGAACGGAAGAGCCAACGCGAGAGCATGCCGATGGTTCAACTTGCAAAATCGCACAACCACAAGCACATTAAGGCGCTTGTAGTTCCGCCTATCTGAACTGTAGTAGGAATCATGCCGGACGTTTATCTCGATTCTCAAATCCGAAGTTGGGTATTGATCCCCATCTCGGTCGCGATGTTCCTCCTTGGAGTGCTCCGGCACTTCGTTTCTAAGGTGTGTTATGATCGCACCGTAACAGTGTTATAAGCCCCTTGCTATTGCTGACAACATTTGTCTGGAATTATTCAGTTGATGAAGGGAAGCGATAGAAAGGTTGAGCTCAAAACTGTTCGCGAAGGCCAGTCCATTATTCGCTCGCAACGTTTGCGAACAAACGCTGGCTACATTCCAGCAACTGCGTTTGGATTGAAGAAGGTGGTCTTCACGAACAAGGTGAATGGGTTGCACACAAATACCGCTCTTTATGATTTTGTCTCTGTTGCATGAAGCCTGTACATACATAAATAATTTTACGAAGTCATTTTATCCCTGGTGCGTCGTTTTACGTGAGCAAATCCAGCTGCTCCCAGCGATACTGTGCAGTTTTCCGCACTAAGTGTCCTTACCTTGTAGTTTTTGAAACTAAACTGCGATTGTGATATTGCAGGAGACCGGTGTGTTCCACGAAAACGTTGAGTCCAAAACTCCGGCGAATCCTTTCCAAGCGATGGGCCAGCCAACGGATCCATCCCAACTGGTCGGTTTGCTTCCGCTTCTCCTGAGTATCGTATGCCATGGTTACTGTATCGTTGGTTCCTGCAGCGTTTAGCGCTATCATCTGCTTTGTGCTGTCAAAGAACTTATCCCGTTGAGAGAATTGGCATAGCATTTCGTATACCCCATTTTGTGGTCTATTTTTGCTGTCTTGTTTCCAAACCCTACCTCGGAAACCCTCCACTTGTAGTTGCTTCGTTCTACTACCCTGCTTCTTTCAGAGGCGCATCCCGTGAAGTGCATATCCAAATTAATAGAGCAAGAGTACTTTTCCACCTCGCTCTGTGAGCATTGTACCTTGACATTTTCAACTGCATTGCTCGAATAGCGCGAGTAGAAGCGACACCTGTGGAAGTT